TAATTGTACATTGAGCAATATGACGTACCATCAGGTTAGCACAAGTAATTGTACATTGAGCAATATGAATGTGTTTCTCACACAATAAGATATAATTAGGCAATCAAGGTAGGTCAGGCAAGGAAAGTAAAATTAAGCAGAAATGAAGACCGATTAATTAAAACCTAGGCTATGAGAATAGCAGGGTATATGAAATTGTTTTGCTGGTTATAAACCACATTTTTCTTGCATGGCCAGCGCTGATGTCATCAGTAGTGTCAAACTAGATTGCATATACCTTTTGCACCTGTATTCGTCAAGATTTAAAGCATAAATATAATTAACTTTTTTTTCCCTTGTTATGAAGTCAGACTGCATAACATGTAAAGCATATGGCATTATTTTCTATTTTACTGTGTGTGTGTGTGTGTAAAAGCTGTCCTGTGTCAGCAGCAATCTGGAGAGCTAGATGGCTGCTCTCATACAAAAAAACAAATGTCTGAGTCTTAAAAGTCAGGCACTCCCCCTGGACAGTCCTCCTAATAATGAACAACACTCATGCTCCCAGAGCAGCATTGTTGATTAAAGTACTGTTACTGTTGCAAGTACTGTATATACATATACACACTGAGTGGCCAGATTATTATAACCACCTGACTTTTGTAGGCAAATTAGCTATAATTAGCTATAATTTTGCGCTGAAGTTGCGAGAGAGCCAGACCATTATACATAGGGAAGCAGGTTGTTTACCACGACAGTAGAAGTGATTTTTTTTCTGAAGATATGGGTAAACCATGCGATTTAACAGCCTTTGAACGTGGGATGATTGTTGGCCCTCGGAGCCGTGGAGCGAGTATCAGAAAAACAGCAGAATTCGTTAAATGTTCAAGAGCAGCTGTTGTTAAAGTGTTTAAAGACTGGACTGTCAGCCGAAAATCTGGGTCTGTACGTGCGAATTGTGGCCGTCAGCGACTAGTCAATGTTAGGGCAGAACGGAGAGTGGCAAGACTGGTACAAGACAACAGAAGAGCAACAGTGCAGTGTCAGATTCCTCGCATCACCTTTCAACATCTCGTGGAGTCACGAGGCGGCCCAACAAGGTCATCTCGTGGAGTCACGAGGCGGCCCAACAAAGTACT